AGACTTGATATTAATTCTAAAGCCATGTACTGTCTCTGAAAGTGGAATTCTATAAAGAAGATCATTCAGAAAGATGACAGAGATGACAAATACTCTACTGTAAGCCTCTCCATTACAGGGTTTAGATTGAATGAACTCACTATTGTAACCACTGGAACATAGTAGTGTACACATTAATCTGAGGAAAAATTTAAAGAATTTAGTGAAAAAGAGTTTTTCTCTAGCTTTCCTTTTCAGGTTCCCATTTCTTAAGTTTCTAGTTACACGGTCTCTAACTTAATGTTTGCTTGGTTAAATCCAACTTTTCTGTTACCATCTTTTTCTATAAGATTTTATTTATTTATTTTAGAGAGAGAGCGAGAGAAAGTGCACAAGCAGGAGAAGGGGCAGAGGAAGAGAGAGAATCCTCAAACACACTCTGCGCAGAGCGCGGAGATGGATGTGGGGCTAGATCTCAGGACCCTGCGATCGTGACCTGAGTTGAAACCAAGTCAGATGCCTAACTGACTGAGCCGCCCAGGTGCCCCTCTGTTAGCATTTTTGAACAAGGCTTAGTCTCATTCCTGACTGGGTTCAAACTTAGAGTGAAAGTTTGGTAAGTTCTGCAGATTGTTTTTAAGAGTACTTTTTATTTGTCTTTGGAGTGAGAAGCAGATGCAGCGAGTGATGAACACAAGCCCTGAATAATAGGGACTGGCATTTTCATCCTAGGTCCACTCTTACCTCTAGAGGGTAGGTAGGCAGAGCTCAACTTAGCAGGGCCAGGCCCACCGTGATGTATATACAGATTGTGCCCTGCTCTAGGTCCCACTTGATTCACCAAGAGGGTTGTAGTAGGTTGAGTTGTGGTCCCCCCAAAGAAGTCCAAGTCCTAACTCCCGGTATCCATGCGTGTGACCTTGTTTGGCAAAAGGATCTTTGCAGATGGCATTAAGTAAAGGATCTCGAGATGGGATAATTCTAGGTTAACTGGGTGGGCCCTCAATCCAGTGACAAGTATTCTTTTAAGAAGAGAGAAAGACATGGGGCACCTGGGTGGCTCAGTCACTTAAGCATCTGCCTTCGGCTCAGGTCATGATCCCAGTGTCCTAGGATCAAGCCCCAAGTTGGGCTCCCTGCTGAGTGGAGAGTCTGCTTTCTCCTCTCCCTGGGCCCCTCCCCTTGATAGTGCTCCCCCACTCTGTCAAATAAACAAATAAAATATTAAAAAAAAAAGAAGAAGAGAGAAAGACATAGATAGGGATAGAGGAAGAGGAAACATAGGAAAGTATTTCTTCACAGAAAGATGGGGATGGAGATTGAAGCGATGAGTCTACAAGCCATGGAAAGCCAAGGATTGCTGGCAAGCACCAGATCAGACGATCAGAGGGAGGCAGGGAAGGGGTTCTCCCTCAGACCCTCCAGAGGGAACCAATCCTGCTGACAATTGGATTTGAGACATCTGGCTTTCCCAACTACGAGAATAAATTCTCTTGTTTTTAAGCCACCAAATTTGTGGTAATTTGTTGCAGCTGCAGTAGAAAATTAATACAGGTGCTTTCTCTATGGCATTTCAGGGGGCAGGGAGGCTGTTTTCTAAAATTGTACGAAAGCCTCTGTAGAGCTAACAGTGGCCCTGAGTCCCATTATGTGACTCCTGCCCACTTCCAGGGTCACTGCTTCCCATTCTCTCTCTTCACCCCCATTCCCTTGGCTAAGTCCTGTTTGCCAGAACTTAAACTTCAAAATTCAGCTCAGGGAACTCACTGTTTGGGAAGCGTTCCCTGAGAGCCATTTCCCCACCTCTAGTCAGGTTTATGCTTCCCCCTGAGGCCTCCAGGTCATGTCTGTCAATACTTACGATATCATGTTGTATTCTCCGCTTACTTGGCTTGCTTCTCCTGCAGTCTACAAGCTCCTTATGGGCAGTGTGAATGCTCTTGGACCTCTAGCAACTGGCGAAATTCTTGTCTCATGGTAGGCACTCCAGTGTTTATGGAACCAATGGAAAAAATGTTGAGTGGCAGGGCTACCAGGATTGTGAGTTGAGCTTTGGTGAATGCCACTCTAGTATGTGGCGTTCCCCCCACCCCCACACCACTAAGCAATTCTCCAATTCTCAGCAGACACTGACCAAGTGTCCCACAAATTTAACCTAAGTCTGATACTACCTACCTAGAAACAGTGTTCGGTCTCATAGGCTAAAGGCTCAGTCTCACAAGACTGCTCCCACTTCAGATGCCAGTCACAAGTTGCTACCCGTGCTTCTGACCAACTGGCTGTAAATCCATGAGCCCCTCCTTGAGTTCAATTAATTTGCTAGTTTACTAGCTATAACTCAGGAACAGACAGCTGCAAGAGATGCCTAGGGTAGGTTATGTGGGGAGGGCCGGGGAGCTTCCATGACTTCTCTGAGACCACCACTCTCCCCAAATCTCTAGCTGTTCATTAATTCAGAAGCTCCGAAATGCTATACTTTGGGGATTTTTATGGAGGCTTCATCAGGTAAGCCGGACCGACCCTTGACTCAATTTGCCGCCGCTCTCCAGAAAATGGGGGATGGAGCTGACGGTTCCAAGCTGCTGATCATGGCTGATCCTGGCTGATCCTGGCTTGGTCTTTCTGGGCACCAGTGCCATACAGGAGCCCAAGCAAAGTTGCCTGGTTAGAACAAAAGGCACTCTTACCATCCTGGAAATCCCAGGGAATTTCAGAGCTCCATGTCAGGATTCAGGATCAAAGACCAGAATTAGAACAAAAGATGCTCCTAGTGTTCTTTTCATTTATGAAATTACGAAGTTTTTTTTTGTTTTGTTTTTTGGTTTTTTTTTTTTGTGGTTCTTATTTTTTTTTTTTATGTTAATCCCATACATTACATCATTAGTTTTAGATGAAGTGTTCCATGATTCATTGTTTGTGCATAACACCCTGTGCTCCATGCAGAATGTGCCCTCCTCAATACCCACCACCAGGCTAACCCATCCTCCCACCCCCCTCCCCTCTAGAACCCTGTTTGTTTTTCAGAGTCCATTGTCTCTCATGGTTCATCCACCCCTCCGATTTCCCCCGCTTCATTCTTCCCCTCCCGCTACCTTCTTCGTCTTCTTCTTTTTTTTTTTTCTTAACATATATTGCATTATTTGTTTCAGAGGTACAGATCTGAGATTCAACAGTCTTGCACAATTCACAGCGCTTACCAGAGCACATACCCTCCCCAGTGTCTATCACCCAGTCACCCCATCCCTCCCACCCCACCCCCCACTCCAGCAACCCTCAGTTTGTTTCCTGCGATTAAGAATTCCTCATATCAGTGAGATCATATGATACATGTCTTTCTCTGTTTGACTTATTTCACTCAACATAATACCCTCCAGTTCCATCCACGTCGTTGCAAATGGAAATTACGAAGTTTTAAGAGCTCTGTGCCAAGAACTGGGGGCAGAGACCAACACATGTTTTCTATTATTTTGGAGCAACAGAGGTTAAGTCATGAGATGTATCTGCCCAGTGGAAAGGGTGTCTTTTTCCAATTCACTATGGAAGGTGCCTATGGGCTAGAGAGGCCCCATGGTGGATGGAGGATCGACTTATTTGGGGTAGTAGCAAGGCTGTGGTTCCAGAATTTTTTTCCTATTAGTGAAGCATCCTGGATAATCCATGTAGCAAAGATAGAACCCTTTAGGAAATCTGTAGAATAAAAGTGTGGTTCCAACTTCAGTGGGTATGGAGATCTTCCTGAGTAGTAAACACTAATGGAGTATTTCTAGTAAACAGAGAGGTAAGAGGTCAGAAGTTCCATAGACTGAAAAAGGAACGATAAGATCTGTCTTTTTACATCCAGGCTGCTTAACTAAACATTTCCCAACACTTTTCCTCAGTAAACACGTAGGATTCTGATTTTGCCAACCCTCTCCTATTTATCTCCAAGTTCTTTAAATTAAATAAAATTAATGTTGTGTATTTAAGAAATATTTATAGCCCTATTCTTCAGTTAACTTTGCAATAATTTCATTCCCATTGTTGTGGCAAGAACACACAGGTTGTCACCCTAAAAATAGGGGCTCTAGAATCAAACTATCTGGGTTTGAATTCTACCTTTGCTGCTTAACCATCTGTCAAGGGCTGTATTTTCCCAGGTGGCAACAACAGCTCTCCTGTCCCTCATGGTCTTTCTTAGAAAGGGATGTCAATGCTACTCTCATCAAGGTGGGGAGGGGGTGCATTTCTCCCCTTGAATCTGGACAGGACTGTAATTATTATAGAAGTGAAATTGTGTGACTTCCAAGACCAGGTCTTAAAGGCACACATGGACTATTACTCAGCAATAAAAGGAATCAACTATTGATGCATGCACAGTTGGATGGATCTAAAGGGCTTGAGGTGTAGTGAAGAAGCCAATCTCAAGAGTTTACAACTATATAATTTCATTTATGTAACTTTCTTAAAATGATAAAACTATGGAGATGGAGAACTGTTCAGTGGTTGCTAGGGGACAACTACGGGGCTGGGGAGAGGTGGGAGAAACTCTAAAGGGATAGCATGAAGGAGTCCTTTTGGGGAACCGTTTTTTATGTTGATTGTGATGACTATATATATCTTAACAGGGAATCAAATTGCACAGAACATAGACACGCACACGCAAAAACACACAAATGAGTGCCTGTAAAAACTGGTAAAACAGAATAAATTCACCACCTAGTTTTGTAGCATTGGGCAAATGTCAATTTCCTGGTTATAATACTGGTCTACAGTTATAGAAGACCACACTATTAGGGGAAGCTGAATGAAGGGTTCATGGAACTCTATAACTGTATTTCAATTTCCTATTAAGTCTATAATTAACTGGAAAAAAAAAAAAACCAGTTTAAAGGCAATACAGCTTTTACCTGTCCTCTACAGATGCTTGCTTTTAGAGCCCAGCTGGGATGCAATGGGGGAAGTCCAAGCCACGTGGAGAGGTCATGTGTGGGGTTCTTGATGACAGCCCCATCTTGGATCCTAGCCAGCAGACACACGAATGAGGAAACATGACAGGACACGAGACGACTCCAGCCACAGCCACTATCTGACTGCAACTGCACGGGAGACCCCGAGCGAGAATCCCGAAGTGAGAACCGCCTCGCTGAGTGCAGTCGACCTCTGGAACCATGAGAGGTAAGAATAAAGTGATTAATAGGGTTTTAAGCCATTACGTTTTAAGATAATCCGCTCTGCAACAAAAGATGAACAGAGTACCATCAGTGTGATCCAGGCAGCTCTGTGCCTCAGTTTATCTACGAAATGAAAAAATGGTGGTACCTGCCTCCCAGGGCTACTGCAAACAAAACAAGTAATCAAGTAAAGGATCTAGGGCAGTGTTTCTATGAGACTGGTAAATATTAGCTACAGGTATTATTACTGTGGATCCAAATTATAACAAAAGGACAAGCAAGATATGGAATAGCGCATTTAGCTCTGGGTCAGTTCCAGAATGACACTAAATCACTCGTCCTCTCTTATCCCCAGAGATTGGGAGTGAACCACGGGAACTTGGCAATAGAGTGGCTTCTATCTTGAGCACATCCTTAGATGACCTCTATCCTCTGGTTGGCCTGTGGGATAAATGTACATTCTAAATATAAATGATGGTTTTATTAGGTTACCCTCTCCCCCTCAACCCCAGAGGGAGTAGCTTTTTTTCTTCTCTATGGGTACAAACCTTTAGAGCTAAACGTGTTTGTGGGTGCTTATCAAGGAATGTTCTTTTATGGAAAATGTCTGTTGCTTGAACAACACTTATTTGGTAATAAACAGCATTAAGAAAAGCCCTACATCTCTTTTTTTTCCAATTTGAGCACAGAGTATACTGAATCAAATTATCTTTAAGGCCCCTCTTTCAGTGTGTACCACTTATTTTTAAAAGAACTACAATTCCCACCCAACCCTTATTTCCTGACTCCGCAGTTCCTGCCAACGTCCCGATGGGTCAGGCCAGCAGACAACCTTGGAGAGGAGAAACCGCAGAAGGGGAGGCAGAATTGATTACGAGGGGCCTGGGATCCTGAGACCACCCCCAGGGAACCTGAATTCTCTCCAAGGGCTAATGTCTGTCAGAAACCAAGGAGGGGCCATTTCACCCAAGGTGCTGACCTCAGCCCTGGCAGGGCAGGGACCCGCTGCTGCAATAGAAGCCCTCGGCAGCATTTGGAAAAGCACTTAGAACTTCCGACTTGGGAAAATGCCAAATCATTAACCCTTAGGCTCCAGTTCTTGCCCCTGACCTGTATGGGTTTTTAGACGTTGCCTTGGCATCTGGATTCACTGTGGCTAACTCATTCCCGCCAACCCTGTCAGTAATACTTAATCCCTAGGCAGAAATGAGAGAGAAAATTGATGTGTGGGACTGAGGGGAGGTGAGGGGGTGTTGTGGCAGGAGATACTGGGGAAAGCAGAGGTCTGGACACACACACACACACACACTTACACAGATGATGGAACAGTTTTTGCATCAGTGTGAACTCTATTTATCTGTTTATCACAAAACAACATTCAAATATAACCTGGGTTTACCACGTCTCCCCACTGTAGCTGTCACGGTGGTGATAGCATATTTCCTGAGGTATCTTTGATTACCGGCCATTATCATTCAGGTTTTCACATCCAAAGTGGCTTTAAGTGCCAATGTGCATTGTATCCAGGAGATTCTGGGGAGAATATCATAGAGTTGCCTGAAAACGAGGACAAATATCCCAACAGCCAGGGAATCCAGAACTCCTGACTTACAAACGACCCACAGCTGGCCCTGCCACTCTTCCTACCCCATCACTGGGAGTTCTTAGAGGATTGGCAGTGACACCAAACCCAGTTGAGCTGTTTGATAGAGTCTCTGGGTCCGGAAGTGGAAGAAAGGAAGAAAGGAAGGAAGTTGAAAACAGGCTGGAAAGCGGACCTCAGAGAAAGTCTCCCCCACACATATACTACCGATGCAGCAGAGGGAATAAAGTCAATAACACACCTTAAATTGTATCTATTAGGAATTACTTGCAATTAATCATCATCATCATCCTCTTTTTAAAATGGATGCAATTAGCCAACAAAAACCTTGTGTAAATTTACTCTACCTCGTGTTTTTTTCCTAAACCCTTTACATAGTTCTCAAATTTCCCCATTTAGAACAATCACCAGAGAAGCTTGCGAACCCAGAGATTCCTGGAGCCCTGCCTTCAGTGTCTGATTCAGTAGGGAGAGCCCAGGAACCTGCATTTGAATATCTACTGGGGTTTCCGATTGAATTCTCCAACTGAGTGTTCTGCCCATCCTGGTGAGTCTCATATGGGTGGCCTTTGGTTCATATTTTTTAAGAAACATTTTTATCTAGCTAGATGCACTGAGCAAATGGTAGTTTGCCTTCTATTCTGCTGCTTGCAAGCTGACCCTGGACAAGTTACTTTTATTCTCTGGGCTTCAGTGTCCTCTTGAGTAAAATGCAGTGATAGATGGTGGTGGGAACAAATTGAAGATGCATGTAAGAGATGACACACACAAATGTGAGTTCCCTCAAACTTTGCCCCAGCTACAAACTGAAGACTTACTCCGTTGCTTCTGCAATAAATTGTGCTCTAGTGCCAGACAATTGATTTATGCAAACTTTTGAAACATGGTCTAATTGCAAGCTTGCAACTTAAAGCTGGGACAAAATTAACCTTATTTATGGAACACCACGTGACCAGAAACAACTTACTTCCTCGTGCTACAGACTGTCAGTATAAATGCTCTGAACAATTACTTTGCACAGAACTCTGTCTACACACTCTTTTCTATAACTCCAGTTTCCACACGGTATTTCCATTTATGCATCCCAACCACTCACATATGCTGGTGGTTTATCACTCTCTTCCCCTCTCAGAACTCTTCAGGGACTCACGCTTCTCCTTTCTTTGTATTTCTTTCCTGGTCCACCCTACCCCACCCTCAAAATAGTAACTGATTTATTTTCCATAAGGTTAACACATATGCTTAAGACATAATCATGCCAATTGAGACTAAAAGTTCAAAAGTGCCTACTCACTTTGTATTTGAGTAAACCACAAAACTGGATCCTCCATGAGCAATTGATGTAATTATTGAAATAAATTATTTATATTTGTGTTACAAAAGTTGCCTGTATATTTTATACATATGGGCCCTTAGTGCCGATCTAAAATTTTATATAATCTTGCCAGCTCCCCTCTCTTTGAGTAGTGTGAAAATGGTGTAATATTAAGCTTCAAGGGGCCAGGTCCAAGTCTCACTCACCACAGTGTGTCCAGTGCCTAGGCCAGTGCCTGGCACACAGTGGACCCTCAAATCATGTTTGTTGAATGAATGCATAGGTTTAGAGTTTCCATAGGAGCTGAAGTTTTCTTAGAGCTTTATTCAGTTGTTCAGGTGATGTCCTTTACTTTGTTCGCACGCCAATAATGGTTCTATGGCCTTTGTTCAACGTGATTCCTAATCAGAGATGGCAGAAAATGTCAGTTCAGGAGATGAGAATGTTGTAAGCTTCATACAAATGAGTAAAACATGAATTTAAAAATCCTAGTATGCCTTTTAGAGTATGATTATCAAGAGTTGCCAGTGATTTTTTTTTTTTTAGTTTATGTTCACCTTGGTCTCTAACATCTACCTATGTGCCTACCCCTTTCCAGAGGAATTAGCTTTTCCCCTGTCTTTGACACTGACCTCCTCTGTCTTCCAGATTGTTCCTTCTTTGTCCTTCACTGATTCTTCTTCTGGCTTCCTAAATGTGGCCCATCAGTGACCATCTATTGTTCTCATTTTGCCCTTTTCTCCTGCAGCGAATCTACAAGATTTCAACTATTGTCTACATCTCTGGCCCTGACTTCAATCCTTCATCCTCTGATGCTGCTTGAAATTCCCTAGTTGGGTGTTTTGCCTATCTCAAATTAATTATCTACAACTGAACTCATCTTCGGCTTGGAATCAGTAATCTTCTTGACACTTCTCTTTTTTGACGGTGGTCCCTTAAGTGATTCACTCATCTAGACTCAGAAAAACTCATATTTTTTTTTAAGATTTTATTTTCTTACTTATTTAAGAGAGAGCGCAAGAAACTGGTAGACGTAAGCGTGTGTAATAAATTAGAGTTATTAGCTGTTAAGAACAACTAAAAAGACTTTTTAGGGGTTGGTAGAAATCCAAACTTTCTATACACTAGATTTTTTTTTAAAAGATTTTATTTATTTATTTGAGAGAGAGAGACAGAGAGAGCACAAGCAGGGGGAGAGGCAGAGGGAGAGGGAGAAGAAGACTCCCCGCTGAGCTGGGAGCCTGACATGGGGCTCGATCCCAGGACCTGGAGATCATGACCCGCACCGAAGGCAGACACTCAACGATCTGAACTATCCAAGCACCCCATACACTAGGTTATTTTTTTTTTAATTTTATTATGCTATGTTAATCACCATACATTACATCATTAGTTTTTGATGTAGTGTTCCATGATTCATTGTTTGTGTATAACACCCAGTGCTCCATTCAATATGTGCCCTCTTTAATACCCATCACCAGGCTAACCCATCCCCCCACCCCCCTCCCCTCTAGAACCCTCAGTTTGTTTCTCAGAGTCCATAGTCTATCATGGTTCGTCTCCCCCCCCTCCGATTCCCCCCCCTTCATTTTTCCCTTCCTACTATCTTCTTTTTTTTTTTTTAACATATAATGTATTATTTGTTTCAGAGGTACAGTTCTGCGATTCAACAGTCTTACACAATTCACAGCGCTAGATTATTTTTTAAATGTTGGTATGCCAATAAGATGCTGGGTGTTTCCTTGGGATATATCCATTGACAGGTTTTTAGGCTGAACAGATTCTGGTAGTAAAAAGGGGAGTTCAACGGTAATCTAACTACCCTCAGCAATCATTCCAATTGAAGGCCATTCCTACATATAGATTCAACTATTTTCAAGTGTGTCTGGGCTGGGTTTTCTTTTTCCCTCAGCACTTTCAATGTATCTTTCCATTGCTTTCTGGACTCCATGGTTCCTGATGAGAAATTAGCTATTAACTTTATTGAGGATCCCTATACATGATAATTAGCCTCTCTCTTGCTACTTTCAAGATTTTCTCCTTGTCATTGACTTTTTTAAAAATTATGTTCAGTTAGCCACTGTATAGTACAACATTCGTTTTTGATGTAGTGTTCAATGATTCATTAGTTGCATATAACACCCAGTTCTCATCACAACATGGGCCCTCCTTAATGCCCATCACCCAGCTACCCCATACCCCCCCCTTCTGAGACCCTCAGTTCATTTCTCAGGGTCCATAGTCTCTCATGGTTCGTCTCCCTTTCTGATTTCTCCCCCTTCAGATTTCCCTCCCTTCCCCTGTAGTCCTCCATGCAATTGCCTATGTTCCACATATGAGTGAAACCATATGATAATTCTTTCTCTGTTTGACTTATTTCACTTAGCATAATCCCCTCCAGTTCCATCCGTGTCAATGCAAATGGTGGGTATACATCCTTTCTGATGGCTGAGTAATATTCCATTTTATATATGTACCACAGCTTCTTTATCCATTCATCTGTTGAAGGACATCTCGGCTCCTTCCACAGTTTGGCTATTGTGGACATTGCTGGTATGAACATTGGGGTGCATGTGCCCCTTCTTTTCACTACATCTGTATCTTTGGGGTAAATACCTAGTAGTGCAATTGCTCAGTTGTAGGGTAGCTTTATTATTTTTTTATTTTTTATTTATTTATTATGTTATGTTATTCATAACATAACATATGTTATTTATTATGTTATTATTATTTATTATGTTATTCATAACATAACATATGTTATTTATTATGATGTAATGTATGTCACCATACATTACATCATTAGTTTTTGATGTAGTGTTCCATGATTCATTATTTGCGTATAACACCCCGTGCTCCATGCAGAATGTGCCCTCTTTAATACCCATCACCAGGCTAACCCATTCCCCCACCCCCCTCCCCTCTAGAACCCTCAGTTTGTTTCTCAGAGTCCATCGTCTCTCCTGGTTCATCTCCCCCTCTGATTTCCCCCCCTTCATTCTTAACACCTTGAGGAAACTCCATACTGTTTTCCAGACTGGCTGCACCAGCTTGCATTCCCACCAGCAGTGTAAGAGGGTTCCCCTTTCTCCACATCCTCGCCAACATTTGTTGTTTCCTGTTTTGTTAATTTTTGCCAATCTAACTGGCGTAAGTGCTATCTCATTGTTGTTTTGATTTGTATTTCTTGATGGCTAGTGATGTTGAGCATTTTCTTTTAATAGATTCTTCTTAATGGGCTGTGGTGACATCTACTGCAAGGTCAGATTACCTCACAGTTATTGTAGTGGCTTTATATTTTTAATTTTTTAAAAAAAGGTTTATTTGAGAGAGGGTGCATGTGTACAAGCAGGGGGAGGGGCAAAGGGAGAGGCACACTCCCCAGTGAGTGGAGCCCACCACTGGGGCTCAATCTCAGGACCCTGAGATCATGACCTGAGCTGAAATCAGGAGTTGGAAGCTCAACCAACTGAGCTGCCACCCAGGTGCCCTGACTATATATTTTTAAGCTGTGGCTTTGAACCATATGAAGTTTATATCAGAAAAAAACATGGTATTAGCTACGTAAAAGATAACCCAATGACTTGATCCTTACTATGCTATTTTTAGGCAAAATAGTTAGTGGCCTGCTATACCTTAAAGGTGACTGACACATTATATAATTAAAATAACCGTCTGCAACTATTTCAAGTGGAAAGGCTCATTAATTCTTGTCTCTGAGAGGATATCCCATGCACATCTTTGTTTCTGATGGAAGCACTAAAATGGGTTAATGTCTCAGGTACAATGCAAGTAATAAGATTCAAATACCATGTCTGTATACAAAATCACGAGTGAGTCCATAGCTGGAGACTTTGAGAAAGATAAGAGCTCAAACCACTCCCCCAAGTTGGAGAATTGGACTAGGAGTAAATGTGTGAGTAGGAAAATTCCATCCTTTATGTGTCTCAAATCTCCTCCTGTGCTCAGCTGGGAAGTTTATTTATTTATTTTTTTAAGATTTTATTTATTTATTTGACAGAGAAAGAGAGAGAGCACAAGCAGGGGGAGCAGCAGAGGGAGAGGGAGAAGCAGACCCCTTGCTAAGCAGGGAGCCCGATGCGGGGCTCGATGCTGGGACCCTGGGATCATGACCTGAGCCGAAGGCAGACGCTTAACACACTGAGCCACCCCTCGGCTGGGAGTTTATGAAGTGGTTACATCAGGCCTGATACTTTTCCAGCAATTGACTGAGCAAGTAGGACAAATAGCACCGAACCAGGGGAGTTAGCAACTGTGCTAGAGGGTAAGGATTCCAGCCATCAGAGTCCCGATAAAGGTGTTGTTTACCCTGCTGTAGCTTCAGGAAATTTGGAGAATATATTCATGGAAAGCGAGACCCAAGTTAACTCCAAATAAAGTCTAAAAAGTCTTCCCGTTATAATAGTAAAGAATCTCACTAAAACACTGTTAAAAGTCAGTGACTCAAAACCCAAACTGGTTGGCTCTTAGAATTAGTACAGTGTGAATCCCTGGTATAGCCTGACCTGAAGAAAAGTACCCCCATCTAGAGGCTGTGGGTCTTATGAGACACTGGTGTCCCAAGAGAGTGTCAGGATTAGAGGATGTACTCAAATCTATTTGTTGGGTGAATTGTGTTCAAAGATAAAAGAAACAAACAAGCAAAAGGATCCCTCATATAAAGAATTTGATCCAGATGCCAAAACCAGATTAAAAACTTTGGCTGAGATCCAAGTTGTAGGTCTTTATAGAATAGTACGAGGGTGTGCTAATTAATTTGCAGCAATGAGTAGGCTGGCTCAAATAATAAAAATAGGAACATGATTTAAAAAATAAAGCCACTGGGCGCCTGGGTGGCTCAGTCATTAAGCGTCTGCCTTCGGCTCAGGTCACGATCCCAGCGTCCTGGGATCGAGTCCCACGTCGGGCTCCTTGCTCGGCAGGAGGCCTGCTTCTCCCTCTCCCACTCCCCCTGCTTGTGTTCCTGCTCTCGCTATATTTCTCTCTGTCAAATAAATAAATAAAATCTTAAAAAAAAATAAAATAAAAAATAAAGCCACTGAGTAATTTTAGCAAATGGAGTAACTCCAACCAGAAAACATGGAATATTTAAGTGAAACAGATTAAAGTAGCTTTAGAGTATTAGAATCAAAATTCAGAGTCAGAGTTAAATTTTTAGTTTCTATCATATAATTTAAACATTTCAAAGTTTACTTGGGAAATTCACAGTAAAACCCTGTAAGAAATGCCTGAATATCTCTTGAAGTAGGAAGAAAAGGAGAAACTTGAGCTAGTGATTTTAAAAGAGGAAAATGTGATTCAGTTAGAAAATGTCTTGGAGCTTCATCTCTGAACATATAAAGAGTACACCAGGCAAAGCAAGGCAAAGCCAACCAGGAAGAGAGTAATTCTTAGGCAGAAGTCAAATGAGAGCTTTACACCCAAGTACTCCTAACAAGAAAGTGTCATGGATTCATCAAGGTGAGAGAAGGGAAGTCCAAAAAGCCACCTAAGGACGCTCAAGCATCTCTATTCATAATTCTTGGTGTGCAGTCCAGTTGAAATTACAGGGGTAGAGCATCTTCTCAGAGAAACACTTCGCAGCTTGTGTTTGAAAAGGCTAGAGACAATGTGACTGGAATGTGTCACTCTTTCAAAGGCAAAACAGAAGGCCTGAACAGCAGGGTCAGCTGACATTGGAGAGAAAGTTCTTGATTTGTCTCCGGAGAGTGTGGCCCTGTGTCATTAGTCCATGGGATTCAGAGCAGGTTTCCTAATATATTTGTTAACCTTTTTATTGTGAAATAGAGTTGATACAGTAGACCACAAAAAACAGTTTAATAAATTATTACAAGGCATTCTTATAATTATCACCCATGTCAAGAAATAGAACACTGGGTGAGGTGCCTGGGTGGTTCAGTCGGTTGAGAGTCTGACTCTTGATTTCAGCTTAGATCATGATCGCAGGTCATCAGATCGAGCCCCACGACAGGCTCCATGCTGGGTGTGGAGCCTGCTTAAGATTCTCTCTCTCTCTCTCCCTCTGCCCCTCTATCACTTCAATGGTATTTCTGCCCAAAATGCGTAACTTGAATCTAATTACAAGGGAACATCAGATAAACCCAAACTGAGGGACATTCTACAAGATAACTAGCTTGTACTCTTCAAAAATGTCAAGGTCTAGAGAGACAAAGAAATGCTTAGAAACTGTTTCAGGCAAAAGGAGGCTTAAGAGCTATGATCAACTGAATGCGATATATGATCCTAGATTGGACCTCAGAAGGAAACCTGTAAAGATTACGGGAGCAGTTGCTGAAATTTGAATAGGGACCGTATCGTATTATATCAATGTTAAATTTCCTGACTTTGACAATCGTATTATGGTTATATAAGAGGATGTCCTCGTTCTTAGGAAATACACACTGGATTATTTAAGGGTGAAGGGGCACAATGTCTTCAAATTCCTCTGAAATGGTTCAGGAAAGTGTGTGTGTGTGTGTGTGTGTAGGGAGGGAGAAAGTCAAGAGAGAGACAGAACAAAAAAGGGTGCAAAAGTAAAAAATTGGAAATTGGCAAAACATTATGGGACTTCCTCATACAATTTTTATAATTTTTCTATAAGTCTGAAATAATATCAAAATTAAAAGTTACAAACAATGCTATGCTGTCTGCAAAGGTCACCTCTTTGAGTCTGAGATACCATCCAGAGTTGTTCAACTTTTTTGTTCCAGAGGAATTAGCAGTTTGGATGCTGCACTCTCCCTAACGTTAAGAATAGGGCCTATGACGCCTGGGTGGCTCAGTTGGTTAAGTGACTGCCTTCGGCTCAGGTCATGATCCTGGAGTCCCTGGATCGAGTCCCGCATCGGGCTCCCTGCTCAGCAGGGAGTCTGCTTCTCCCTCTGACCCTTTCCCCTCTCATGTGCTCTCTTTCTCATTCTCTCTCTCTCAAATAAATAAATAAAATCTTAAAAATAAAAAAAGAATAGGGCCTATGAAATAAAATTTCTAATAGTAGAGAGGTAATAGAATATACAATCTTTCAATATTTATATAAACACTAGTCTTTCTTAATATTTTTTATATTTGTTTCATATCTTACCTCCTTCTCAACAGGAACAGACAAGATGCTTAATGTGGAAGAAATTTTTATGACAGAAATATTCAAATGGAGGATGGAAAATCACTTGTTGGGAGTGCCTTTAGGAGGACTATCTGTATCCAGGAAAAATACAAGGGAGCTGTGATTCTAATTGTAAAGATTAGTTATGAAGTATTTTCAGTTAAAAATTCTACTTAGGAAGTAGTACTTGTAATTGAGAGAATTTTGAAGTGTGGGACTCCTGTCTTCTCTGTCCCTGGATCCTGCTGCCTTCAGTGTTTTGCAAAGCCGGAGTCATTTTCCAGGTCAACAATTCTGATCCTGATGCTGTTACAAAGTAAACCATCAGCCTAGGCATGTATTGGTCAGCATCTGTTCATTTACTAAATATTTTAGAACATTAACTGGTTCTTGGCCAAATACTGATCTGATAGACTTTGAGGTGGGACTTTGCAGCCATGAACATTCATCTGATCACCTTCCAGGATGTTTGTGAGTGCTGGAGGGACCAGTTAAGGTCATCCAATCCAATGGCGTCACTTGTTCCACATGATGCTTTCTTCATCCATCCAAACCTGCAAATGTGCAGGTCCCACAGAAAGAGCCCCAGCTCAGCTACAAGGATTCCTGGCTTCCAAAATGGCCATTGAGGTACTGTGTGTGCCTGATCAAAGTGCCTCTCGAGGCCTCAGTTTCTTTCCCCATAGTACATGGCTACTGCTGGGATGCGGACCTGGTTTTCTTCAGGTGAGAACTGGAAATGTGGGAAACTTCTTTGACGTGTTGCTTTTCCCACATCCCCCAAGGACCCACCGATCCCCATCCATTCTCTTCTCTTCTCGGGGATCCACCCTGCTCCTTCCATCCCCAGTGCAACTGTCCCAGTTCAGATCTTCATCATTTCCCACCTGAAGTATCACAATACCCTGATAACTGGCCTTGCTTCCTGGATTGTGCCCACCACCCCCTCCTCTACTACTATCCATTCTTCATACAAGCTGTGCTATTTTTTAAAGGAAAATATGATCATGTCCCTCCCTTCTTAAGTCTTCATTGGCTTCCAATTAACTTACATGATCATACATATACTCCTTAGCATGTGCCTACACTTGATTCCCTAATATTCCAGTTACCTCCTTTGTTCTGTCTTTGGTCTTCTTTCCCTCTCACTGTAGAATCCACATCTTACCGTTTACTTACCCATTTCCCCCACAGTAAACTCCTTCAGGGCAGAGACTGTTCAAAATCGAATTCCTGTGGCTAGGACCAGCATGTGCCTGCCTGGCACCCAAAGTATACTCGATAAATAAAAACCCAAGAAGACTAGTCATTAGCACTGAATTTTAATTACAATTAGTAGTGCGGATGAAGAACAGACTAGAATAGTGTTTAAAATCAACTTCTGAAAAAAATCACATTTATATAAGGGAAATAAAATGGGCCAGCAGAAGTCCAAAAAAGGTGCAGCCTGGATTATTGCACTTGGATGAAATATGCTGTTCAGGGTAGCATAATACTCAGGCCACACAAGGGCGGGAGGAGGAGATAAACACAGAGGACAGACCCCCAGGTAGTATTTATTCGGGATTCCAAACTCTCCAGTTGCCTCACAAATATTTAGCATTTTCAAAACATTTAAGAAGAGCTCTTTACAAAAGTGACTGCGGTGTCTCCAACAGGTTTTAGTTACACCTCTGCTTTTCATTCCAAATTATGGGCAAGTTTCCTGGATAGCTCTACATCACGTGATGGGACATCTTTTACGCCAAAACCACCCAGCGCCCCAGGCCATGGAGTGGTGAAGGGGGTGAATTTGTACTTCACTCATATTTTCAGGAATAATACTGTGGCTACAGTTTACCCTTTCAAGCACTCTTCATTTTGGTCATTTGTATTGGAACATGAGAAAAAGTGACAACGAGTACAAATGAGCACTAAAGTAACTCCTAGGCTACTAGTACAAAATAAAATAAAATTTTAAAAAGTCCCCTGCCACGTTCACGAGGGTGGCGTAACTGTATGTGTAAGAAAAAGGCTGTAAACTTATAGAAAAGATAAACTCTGGCTTCTAAACAAATTACAAAATTGATTTTACCTTTACCCTTGAGTGTTATACAGAAAAATGTAAACCAGTGGACCTAGTTACCAAAAACACGTATCCTCCTAAGCCGAGGGATGGCCTTAAAGTTTGGCCTGAGCCAGTTTTATATTCAAGTTTTCTCCGAGTTTGTCCATGAACTCAAATGTGTTCAAGTAGTCAGAACGTTGCACGCTAATAAAGGAGGAAAAAGAAGAGAAAGAAATTAGTTTGTCTCTGGTCTGGTAGCAGGTAGAGGGAAAGTCCTAGAAATGCTACGTAGGTAGCATTTTATTTATGTCTAGAAGAACACTAATTAATATTAACAAGCTATGAATATATGGCTGATGACCATGCTCAAGGTTCAAGGGGCTGACCCCTGCAGTTTCACAGGATGTCCCTTGCCCTGAGTCTTAGAGGGTGAAGCTATCACAGAGCTTCCATTTAGACTAATGCCTGACTGAAATCATCCCACTTCTTATTCCTCATTCTTAAAAATAACAAAACCTATTCAGGAGAACAGCCATGCTTTCATCTACATTCCTACAAATTGTCACATGTCCTTAAAAAAGTCTGAACGCTTATTTTTATCATTGTCTTACTTAAAAAAAAAAAAAATAACGGACTGGCTAAACTAATCCTGCTGATAGGTGCCTATTCAAATAGGCTACAAAGGTAACATACTGATAAGCACATTTCAAACACTGTGTTCTTGCCAGAAATTTAAGATAAGAAAGATATGGTGGTTGAGTATATCCCCATCACTGAGGTATACTGACCCTAATGGAGATCTTGGAGGATGCACGGTTGGGACGTGGGATTGGGGTTAAACTTTAGTAGGGTTTCTTAAGGTGAGTCAATAGTGACCAACTGTGAGGGAGAAGTCTCTGATTAGCAGCCAATCCAGCAGGGATATGGGCTACCATGTTCTTAGAAAAATCCTGGGCAATAACCGGGCCTCGGTATCTGATTGTTGGTTATAGATAATTGGGACTATGACCAAGTGGGCATCTAAAACTTGTGTTGTTGGGGTGCCTGGGTGGCTCAGTCCATTAAGTGTCTGTCTTCGGCTCAGGTCATGATCCCGGGGTCCTGGAATCGAGCCCTGCATCGGGCTCTCTGCTCAGTGGGGAGTCTGCTTCTCCCTCTCCCTCTGCCTGCCGCTCTGCCTACTTGTGCTCTCTCTGTCAAATAAATAAATAAAATCTTTTAAAATTAAAAAATAAAACTTGAGCTGTTTTTCTTACCCATAAATTGAAGAAATTAAAGGGATAGAGTACAATAGCCTTGGAGGTCCCTCTGTTTCAACTGTCTATAATTTTCTTGTTAAAAAGAACCTTGTCACCCAAAGATCATCAACTGGATCAGAGGTCAGCAAACTACAGCCTGGCCCCTGGACTCCATCCAGGCTACAGTCTGGTTTTGCAATTAGTTTGATTGGAACACTGCCACATCCACTAGCTTCCGTATCATCTATGACTGTTTTCCTTCCACAGTGGCAAAGTTCTATAGCTGTATAGTTTTGAAAAGGCTGTATGTTCCCACAAAGTCTGAGATGCTTACTGTTGGCATTCTATAGGTAAGTGTCTGTTGATCCCTGAAGTAGGCGATAAATAACAATTCATGTACTTCCAAAAAGCCGTGATGTTTGGAGCCCAGAAAAGAATGTTTTGAGCCCAGAAAAAATATGCGGTGATTTGACTGCAGAGCTCAAGGCATCTTATACTTACTTGGGCAAACCTTTAATACAAGCAGCCAAGTCCTTGGTCATGAAGCCAGCCTCAATGGTCTCAATACAGACTTCTTCCAAAGCCTTGGCAAAGAAGCTGAGCTCTTTATTGTTATCAAGCTTAGCCCTATGGGCTAACCCTCTGGTCCAGGCAAAAATGGAAGCTGAAAGAGCAAAACAAAACAAAACCAAAAAACCAACACTTAGATCATACCAAGAGGGATTCCCAATTGTTTCAGTTCCCAAAAATACAATTTTCTTTTGTTTAGGTGACTTGATTCCATTAGACGCTATCCACATGGGCTATATAAGAACTGGAAATATTTTTACTGAATAGAAATTTAAAAAAAAACCTGTCTCTTTGTGTATATTTCAAGAAACACCCTCAAATGGCTCTTATTAGTAGAACAGATGCACTGTTTGGTGATGATTTTATACATAAAGCATTGGGCAGCCAAAGGAGCACGTCTGGTTCCCTTTGGAGATTGCCACTCTTTGGGTGGAAATCAGTGTAGCAGTAAACACGATCTTACCGATGGGATTGGTGGACGTCTCCTGTCCGTTCTGATACATGCGGTAGTGACGTGTCACTGTCCCGTGGGCAGCCTCTGCTTCTACGGTCTTGCCGTCTGGACAAATCAGCACGCTGGTCATCATGCCAAGAGAGCCATAACCTGAAGTGGCAAAGCATGAAGTATTGGGGCCAACTGCAGGAAGAGCACTCTGTCTCTCGGAGCTGAGCAGTCTCAGGAAAATAAGCAAAAGCATATGTAGTCATCAGTAATTCCACCTTTCAGGAAGCAAGGTCCCAGCTCCAGACCTCAGGATCAAAGAGTCTGGAGAGGCTACGCTTCGCTTCTTCTTCACTTGTCTATCTCAGAGGCACCTGCTCCGGGATGGAGAACTCAGGATCTGCCTGCTTGCATTCTACCCTAGTACTGTGACTTCCTTGCTACTGTGACTCAGTTTTTCCTACCTGTAGAATGGGAATAATAAAAGCACCTCCTTCACCGGATTGTTGCGAGAATTAGATGAATACACATATATTTGTGAATATATGTGAAAAGAATACATATTCATCTTCCTTAGAATAGTACCTGCCACAGAGTAAGAGCTCAGTATATTGCCGCTTTTTTTTTTTTTTTAAAGATTTTATTATTTATTTGAGAGAGCGAGAGCAAGCACAGAGGGAGAGTGAGAGGGAGAAGCAGACTCCCCGCCAAGCAGGGAGCCCAATCCCAGGACCTGGAGATCATGACCTGAGCCGAAGGCAGATGCTTAACCATCTTAGCCACCCAGGAGCCCCATATTGCCACTATTCTTATGTGCAGATGCTGTGCTGTTCTAGGAAAATAGAGGTGAGAGTTGTGTCCTGCTATCAAGCTGCTCAGATTCACTAGGACTGGAAAGGCAGGTTGAAAACAGGATGGGATGATCCAAGAACATCCCTCTTGCCCTTGCTCCCGGTAATAGTCCCAACAAGACAGTCCTATTCTGTGGCTTCCTTTTCAGAGAACGACATTAGCACTTTTAAGTCCAGACAATTGATTTTCCTTCTCTTATTCACTCTTTTACACTTGAATTTGAAGAATATCTTTTTCTGTTTTAGCTACCGTCCAATAGCACCTCTGGGGTTAATAATGCAAATTTATCACAGGCTGCTACGTTTGCTTTTTTGTGTTTTTTTTTTTTTTGGTTTGAGTAGATACATAAACAATGTTTTTTTTTAAACTCATTTTTTAGTATCGTTAGAAACTTCCGCATGGGACTAGTAGCTCTCTTCATATCATTGTGTTGGTCTGAGGCTTTGGTAGACTCCCAAATACTTATTGGAGAAGTTCAGGACCATATCCATAGTGAGTTTGCTTATGGTTAATATCAGGACACTAGTTGGTACCACGGTCAAAACTGAGGACCTAAGTGGTGTGAGTCCGCAGTAGCTCATATCCTAGGAAAGACTGGACATGCGGACAGCACTGTTGCTTTTGCCTGTTGAGCGGTACTGAGGTTACATTTATCTACAGGCTCTGCCCAGACACAGAGCCTTGGTACCTTATCAGTGCACTGCCCGACTCTGCACTTCCGAAGTCCTATTTCAAAGTCCTCTGACCCTCCATATCTTGACATTTACATTCGAAAGATCCATCCAGATACTCTTTGTGGCTATGAGGACATTTAGAAAGGGTGGAATGATTTGGGTCCCTTCCCAAGAAATCTGCTCATAGGAATAGTTTCCCTTACCCACCCTGGAAGCATCATAAAGCACCACTCTTTCCTCTACCGAACACAGCACAAAGGATTATGAGGATGTGGAGAAACAGGGGGAGCGTAAAGAGAGTTGTCTAACTCATTTATCTGACATAAACCTGGGTTGATCTACCAATTTTCAAACCAGCAGGAGGTGCTTAACTTTTCATAAGAGAAAAGAAGAAGTAGTACTTCCTGGGGAAAAGCAAACAGGATTAAAGTTAACACAAACGTTTATCAGGGGAAGATTCACGTTTACATAGCTGCCAAGGG